AATGAGGGAAAGCAGTGTTTTAAAAGGGTGATGCCCAGATCAACCTTGGCCCCAGAGTATAGGGCAGAGAAGGAAAGAAAGAGTGAAGGAAAGGGGATGAGGAGACAGATAAGAAGGAATGGAGAGGGAAGGAGGGTTATGGAAGGAAACCTGGGAACGTTGGTGGAGGGAAGTTGACACTGGTGGTGGGATCCGTGCTGGAATGTTGTTTGCCTAAAACTCAGCAGTGAGTTACTTTGTAAATCACGGTGCTTTAATAAAGTTTTTTGAAAAAAGGAAGAATCTTTATGGAAATGGATGCATACCATCCATACCCAGAGTGCTCTGGCATCAGCCCAAAGTGCCACAGGAGCAGGAAAGGAGGTGATGATCAAACCTTCCACATGGCATAGAAGGCACTGAGTGATCAGAACCTCCAGAATCTTTCCTCTCATTGTCCTCTCATTCCTCTGCAGGATGTATTTTAACTTCTAGGAGGAGATAGGGAAAGCAAACAAAATTTTCCTTTGTTTTTGAATGAAATAGGCGAAGCAGCCTATGTACATTGGTCATCTTGTTTCAAGGTGAGCTGTCCATTCCCAGGATGGTAGAGGAGCCAGTGCTGCTGTCCCTATGTGCCAGCCTGGGGATATGCTGACAGTTGAGAAGACAGGAATGTGAATGGAAGAACAGTCCTTCAGATAGAGTTAACAAATATGCAGTGTGGGAGGCCCTAGAGATAGTACAAGGGTTAAGTTACCTGCCTGGCAGTTGGCCAGACTTGGTTCTCTCTGGATGGATCCCCAGTACCACATACGCTCTCCTGTGCATCAGGAGTTATCCCTGAGCACAACACCAAGAATAAGCCCTGAGCACTGTCAGGTGTGACTCAGAACCCAAAGTAAATAATTATCAGTAGCACAAGAAAGAATATCGATTTTGGTGAAGACCAACCATAGGCCACTAGAGGTGAAATGATTACTAGTCTTAGGTCAAATAAAATTTGACTTATTGAGAAACCCACAGGTCCCTTTTTCACTGAAAGTCTTGGAGAACTCTACAATCGCTTTGTTTCTCTGTTTCTACCCTAGAGTATTAGCTTGCGACTGAGCTTTTATCTCTGCAATGACATGGTTGGGTGTCAAATGCACAGCAGGATTCTCGGACAAGGACTTATTTCAGCAGGTAGTTTGGTGTCAAGAAGCAATGATACTTTTGCTCGGCTGTTCACACCAGAAGCTGATGTTCTCAGGAGAGTCTGTGTCTCAGTTCATCATGCAGTGAGAGCCAAGTGGCTTTGGTACAGCAGACCCCTGAATTCTGATTGTGTGAATCAAAGCAGTCCAACAATGCCCCTAATGTGGAAAATAGAAATGCCCAGAATAGGACCTCCTCAACTCCTTTTACAGTTCCCATTTACCACCACTCAGTATAATTGCTAACATAATAAAGAGGATAGGAGGAGGAAGAGGAGAAGTTATAATAACAGGCAAATCTAACAATCACAAATACATGAAAACAAAGTCCTAGCTAATATGCACATGCACAGAGGTGACTGTGCTATCAGTTGCACTTGTCTTTAAGTCACTCAGATACAAGTACGTTGTAATTATTTAGATTTGTAAAAGAAGCATCTCCTAGTGGTGTTGTTCATCTATCATTTTAATGAGTTAATTAAGATACTAAAGTGTTTTTATAAAACCTCCAGCCCCAATGAGGCCCTGGATTCCATCCCTGTCACCACCAAGACAAACAAAAGCCCCCAAATCACCAGCAATAGCAATAAAATGGCAAACAGTAAGTCTGGGGGAAAATATCTTAGTTTGTTCTGCAGTTGAATGCAGACAATTAAATATCTCAAATTTTGTTGGTAATTCATTTTACTTTTCTTGTTTAGAATGTTGGATTAAAGTTAATGTGTCTTCCATGTGCAAATTGATTTTCAGGAATGTTATATACTGCCACAAATAGTTTTTTAAGCAGCAATCATTTCACACCCTTTATTCCATTAAGTCATAATAGTTTTTGTCATTTGTGAGGTTGCATTTCATCTGATGGTACTTTACTTAAAAATTATTTTAGTCACCATGATTTACAGCATAACAATACGATCAACAGTAGGCATCATGCATATAACATTCCAGCACCACATCCCCCACCAGTGTTGCTCCACCATTGTCTCAGGGTCCTCCTCCCACACCCCCACCACTTCAACACCCTCCCCACCACCATGTCTTACTGCCGTGATGAGCCCCACTTCTTAGAACAATTCTTAGATTCTGTTGCTTTTGGCCATTTGGTATTCTCTTTCTGTGCTTCTTTATACCCTACATATGAGAGACAATTTGTATCCATTCATCTCCTTCTTGCTGATTTCCATTGTGCATGTGTACTGTTGGCATGATAGTCCCCAGATATATCCATATAGCAGCAAACTGCATGATTTCATCTTTTCTTATAACCAAGTAGTATTCCATTGTGCGTTTGTACTGTTGTTTCTTTATCCAGTCTCCTGCTCTCAGAAATTTGGATTATTTTCCAGATTGGGGAAAAATTTCTTTAAGAAGAGGAAGATTCAATAAAAAAAATAACATACTCACTATTAGACTAGCAATCCAAAATAGATCAAATTAACCACTCTAAACTCTTATCACGCTGAAGGTTGTGTGTTCACGGGCTCACTGGATGGCTCTTTTTCACCGCCTGCGTTCGGTGCTCTTGAACCCTGTGTGTGGCCTTGATCAGGATGGCTGTTCTTTCTCTCAAGCTTGAGCCCCTCTCACTCTGACTCTCCATTCCCGAGCTTACAGTCTTAGTTTATATAGCAGTCACATAAGGTGGTGACATAAAGGTGGGTTGGATATTGACAAATCAACAAAGAGAGGTAAGACCACTCCTCCAGGAGATTAACTCAAGGATAAAAATCTCATCTAAAGAGATTACTCCAGATTACTAGGAGATCCGCTCAAGGGTGGGATCCCAACAAGGGTGTGTTCTTCCCTCAGTTAGTAATCTACTTAAATAGTTGTAATAAATCTACTTCTAATATTTCTAGCAATGTCATTCTGTATGAGCACAGTAAGAGATATAAACTTAGTTTGGTTCTTCCTGAGAACATCTCACTATACATTCCGCAGTCCTCAGGCCAGGTTAATCTTCCTAGCTCCAGCAGGGTCCTAGTCTCATTGTTACTTACTTTTGGATCATGACAGCATTTGTCCATAATCATGCCCTCAACTTATAGTTGAGTATTGTGGCTCTTTGGCCTGGCCCATTTTGATGCAAGGGTAGCTCACTGCTTGCCCTGGGTCCATTCAGTCCCTCGTCGGGACCCTGCATTTGGGGTGCTAGGAACTAAGGGCAACCGAGTCAAGAAATCAAATGCCCAGGAGTAAATATTATTAGGAGTCAGTCAACTCCCAAGTTACAAAGCATAATATTAACTTTATTCCTGTGTCCATACAGAAAGGACATTGCTTACAATAAAAGTTCAGTGTCCTTAGATGGGTGTGACCCAATAAACCTAAGCTACCTGAGGAAGGACAAAACAGTGTTATCCTACAAACTACCTTTCTCCTTAAAATATGAGGCCACTTCTATGTTCCTAAATTTGTCTCCCTATCCTGTTTCAGGGCTATACCTCCCTCTAACCCCTTTGTTTTATATTCTGCTCCCTGATGTTTTGGAGGCAGCATGGGGAGACTGGAGACACTTTAAAATATTAAAGGACAAAGGAAAAGGAGACTTCGGTGAAGGAAAGCACATGCACATGTCTCCTCTTGAGATGTGGGCTTTCTTAACTTGAAAGTGCATCACCCCATTCTGGGGAATAGCCCACACATCCTTTTTGGGATGTAGTCTGTCTTTATTTACTTGGAAAAAAATAGCTTTTGGGAGGTGAGGTTACTCTCTTCCCATTGGCATTCTCTGGATGTTTGCATGACCTTGCTCTGTAGGGATGGAAGTTGGGAAGTTTCTCACTCCTCATAGGGCTGGTCTTTCCTCTGGAGGATCCAGGTGAGAAAAGGTGAGCACTTTCTTCTTGATAAAGTGGAGTAGAACTGGAGGCACCCACACTGGCCATGCATTGCTTTGTGGTTTGTTTGTATTTTTTGTTCTTTCTTTTTTTTTTTTTTTGGTTTTGTTTCGGGACTACAGCCAGTGATGCTCAAGTCTTGCTCCTGGCTCTGCACTCAGGGATCAGACCTGGTAGGATTGAGGGACCATATGGGTGCCACAGATTGAACCTGAGTTGGCCACATGCAAGGCAAGTACTCTCCCCACTGTACTATCGTTTCAGTCCCTCCCTTGTGCTTTGACAGATCTGCTTCTGAGTAGTGAAAGATGAGAAGCAGGACCTCCCATTGGGAAGTGAAGGTGCTGGTGACATGATCTGGACCATTGGTCATGGAGGTAGAAGTTCTCACAGGGAGAGAATGTACTGGAAGATTTTGATGCTGAAGCATTTTTAAAGCCTGGAGCTGTTAGAGCAGTGGTTAACTGGATGTGACTTGAGTGGATCTTGAAGAAAGGGTCTCTAGAGATGCCACCGAATAAGAGGGAAGTGGTCATCGGATGTCTCCTTGATGCCCAATGAGAAGGTTACTAGGTTATCACATGAGTGTGACTTCCATTTTGATGGATTGATTGCCCATTCGATACTTTCAAAGAGTAAATTCCCCTGCAAAAATTAACTATGACTTCAATCTCACTCAGCAGGCCTGAAAGCAGCGGAGAAGTGGAAATGAGGTCTTTTGTTCCTTTTCTAAATATGAAAACTTGTGCTGTGACCACCCGAACAGGGCATATAGTTCCAGTCCCTGTCTGTGAGCACTGCCGGTAGCAAACAGGACTCTCGTTCTGGGCAGCTCCTTTGTGGAGTCACAGGTTCTTGGCTCCATCTTGAGGCTTGTTTGAGAAAGAAAAGGGAGCATATGCAGACTTCTAGATTTAAACAGGGAGCTGATGTTGTTCTTGTACTGAACTTTTTTTTTTCACTGGGGACTGGTATTTCTTTCTAGGCTACCCCAAGCAGAGGACCACGGCTCCCCGGAATGGGTTTTCCCCCAAGCCAGATCTGCAGGCGCGTGAAGCCGAGCGACAGCTGGTGCAGCGGCTGAAGGAGCGCTGTGAGCTGCAGGCCCGGCAGCTGGGCCTGGTCCAGGGGGAGCTGAGGAAGGCCATCCGCAGCTTCGAGGCGCTCGCTGTAACCACCCAACACTTCTTCAGGAAGGTGAGGCTCCATTTGGTGACCATCAGAGAGCTTTCCACTGCAGGGATGGGTGGTGATGGTGCTTTGTGTAAGCTTTACTTGGGTATGGGGAGGTTGAAACTGGGGTTTGGTATCCAGAAAATCATGTAGAAATCTCCATGTCATGAGCGTTTGTGGAACTTATTGGCTGTTTCTTTTCGGTTGTGAAAGAAAGGAGTCTCAGAAGAATGATTTAATAGCCTGGAGTATTCCAAATAAGAGAGAAATGGCAAGACAGAAAAGGATGTCGGTGAAAATTTCTGAAAGTGAGAGCCCAAATAGAGTATGTGATTATTTACGTGACGTGACCACAATCTGCCATTTCTACTCATTGTAGAGTAGAGATAAGTGCCCTTCCATTTGGGCTGGTGGGAATGGAACCTGCCAGGCCAGTGGCAGATCCTTAAGGCCAAGTCATAGAGTGACCAGTGCAGGGAGGCTCGGTCCTTTGTACACTGGATATGTTAGTCAGAGAGCAGAAAGTCTCCCTGCCTCTCTGTGTGGAGAGGAGAGGGGCTGGCAAAAGATGCGTGTCTGGTTAGATATTTGAGGGAGAAAAGTGGACATTTACAAACTTCTAGGTTGAAACATTCTGAGTTTGAATATTCAAAACCAACAAGGCATTTTGAGTTTCATATATAGATGTCCTGGTGTCTATACATAGCATCTATATATATTAAGAAGCAAACATGAGACATAAGTGTTCTCCAAATGAGGAAAGGAGCTAATTAAATTTTTGACTTCCAAAAAGAACATCAGAAGAATGTAAATTTGCCCCATGTCCATCTGACTTTGAAGTACAGGAGAACTTTTTGGCTTTTTATATCTTACAGTGTAAAAGCCTAGACTGACAATTTTTATTATTTCTCGTCTTTTTTCACTTAATGCTTTTTAGAAGAACCAATTATCGATTTGCTGTTGTAATGAAAAACGAGAGGAGATTTTAGTTTTACCCATAGTTTTGGACTCTTCCCTAAGAAAAATCTTAATACTGACATCTTCCTTTCTGGTCCAGCACTGCTGGGGTCTGCATTGAACAATTGAAAAACTGCGAACACCGTAAAATTCTCACGGTTGTTAAGGCACCCAAGAGGCCTGATTAGCCTTCTTCACTGCGAAGTATTTTTCTTATTAAAGAAAGAGTGACATGTTTCTTGTTCCTCAGCTATATGTGTATTTTTCAATGACTGTCAGATCATTAGTACAGGGAAAAAAAGGTGGTTCATTGAAGTTCAGTGACAACAATCACATTGTTAGTCTTCACCTTGTGCGATTATTCCTTCCATGCATCATCCAGTGTCAGAGCAAATCCTTCATAAAGGTCTTCTGTGGCTTAGACATAGATATAACATATGGATAATCTGCCCTGGGTTTTTAAGAAGGTGGAAGTTTTGAACTTCATTGATTACATCATTGAAGAAAAGAGAGTTATTGTGTAGAAATGAAGGATCCCGTCCCCATGGTAATGCACAAATGTGCCCCAGAAACATTCCTGCTTGGCCCGGGGGCCATGAGTTTTATTGCTCAGCATCATATACAGGGCTCTTAAATCACAGAACAAAATAGGCTGGCAGGTGATTTGTGGGTCTCCCTCTTGGACCGCCCTGCCACTGGACCCATACCATGTGATATTTCAGCAAGATGGATGGAGAACATGAAATTCATTTTCTTTCTAGTATTTCACAACCGCCACTCCGGGCAGGCCTCCCAAATGGCCATGACGTTTCACCAGCAACAACCCCCCAGACATGGAGTGTTCTTTTCTTCTGTTCTGATCACAGAAAGAAAAAGTGTATCCATTATTATAAGTCCATAGTTGAACACAAGTCTATAATTGAACATTTGAACTTCAGCTCTGGCTGTCATGTATTCCAGAAGGTCTCAAGGTATTGATTTGAGATTTTACCCAGAATATCTCATTAGAGTCAGAGGTAGGACATGGGGGGGAACAACTAGGGAGATAGAGGTAACGTAGCCTGAAACCTGCATGATGGAGCCTCCTATGGCAAGGTCTGGTGATTCTGAAGCACCCAGTGTGGGTGCTAAAGGAAGTGGCCCCAACCCGGTGGGCGGGTGTGAAGCGATGGTCACTGCATTCAGCCTGAAAACGCAGACCATCTTTATGCTTTTCCAGTTAGAAGGTCCTGCTGGAACTCTGTATGCAGAGCTTTTCTCTGCTCTAGCATCTTTAGCTTCAGATCACACCAGAGAGAGGATAGAGTGAGGCCAGGAATCCAAAGCTCCACCTCCTGCTTGTGAGTCCTTGAGCAAGTTCTTGCCTTTCTTTCAGCCTCATCTTGGTCATGTCAAGGAATAACTCCTTGTCCTGGTTGGGCTGCTGGTAGATAAGACACCTCACACCTGTTGTCTTGAGTCTCCTCTTCCTGCATTTCAAAAATAGGACTGATGGTGAGTCTTCACAAGGTCTTGTGAGACTATAGTGAATGGATAATTAAAGGCACCTGAGTAAATCGCTTGATTCAAAACCCCACCTTGAAGATTTTATTTGCAAGCAAACCAAGTAAGACATATACCAAAGATCACTCTATCACTATATCACTGTCATCCCGTTGTTCATCGATTTATTTGAGTGGGCGCCAGTAACGTCTCCAGCCCTGAGATTTTAGCAGTCTCTCCTTACTCGTCTTTCCCAACACTGCCATATTGGAGGCTCTTTCAGGGTCAGGGGAATGAGACCCATTTTGTTACTGTTTTGGGCATATTGAATACACCATGGGTAGCTTGCCAGGCAGGATACTCTCGGTAGCTTGCTGGGTTCTCTGATATATATATATATATATATATATATATATATATATATATATATATGCCTGACTGTCCCCACCAGGGCCCAAGAGTTGAAGACCTCCGGGCCCCAGTGAAGGACATACTGGGACCACTCTCCACACACTTGGATGAGCCTCACACATAAAAGAACTGGCAGAGGAACCCAGGTGTGTGGGACCCGGGGCTGAGATCTCCAAGCCTGCATGGTTTGGGACTGGACCTGCCAGTAGCTAGACAGTTACACCCACCAACTGCCGTGTAACCCCAACAACGGCCAGGATCCAGAGATTATCACACTCAGCTCCCGGAAGCGCGCGGCCTATCATCTCATTCCTACTTTGGACAAACTGGCAGGCTACCGAATGTAACCTGCCCACACCGCAGAGTCTGGCAAACTCCCCGTGGCGTACCCAATATGCCAAATACCAGTAACAATGAAGGGTCTCATTCTCCTAACTCTGAAAGAGCCTTGAATATGGCACTTTTTAAAAAAAATCTCAGGGCTAGGACAAAGGAGACGTTACTGGGGCCTGCTCAAGGCAATCGACGAATAACAGGATGGTTGTGATTTGTGATATATATATAGATAGATAGATAGATAGATAGATAGATAGTGGCGACATATTGTTGTTTGATTTCAGTCAGCTGTGTAACAAGGTGATCCCCCCCCCCCACCAAATTATCCATCATGTTAATTTTTATGAGGTTAGATTTATTGCTCTTGTCCTTTACTTGGGCACTTAGGTTTTTGTTTTATATATTTTCATTTTGTATCCACTTCCAGTGCTTTTCATGGGCCTCCAGGTGGCAAAATATTTATTCCAGCCCTTGAGCTATTTATTTCTAGGGCACCAAATATTGGGCATAGGAGTTCCTCCCTTCTCTCCTCTCTCTTCTCTTCTTCACTCTCTTCCAAGCAGTGCTCTAGAGGCCTGGGAATGTCTCCAGGCAGTGCTAGGTGTTGTCCTGGCTGTGCTCGGGGACCATGCAGTGCTAGGGACCTAGGAAACCATGCATGCTGGGAATCTAGTTCAGGGCCTCTGCATATCAAACATGTATTCCAACCCTTTGACTATCTCTTTGACTCTTTCTATTGTTTTTACGAAGTCATTCCTTGCTTTTAAATTAGAAGAGGGTGTGGGTATCGACAGTGGGGCAGAGAGATAGAGAGGTAAGGCATTTGGCCACAGGTTCAATCCCCAGCTCCCCTTATAGTTCCCACATATAGTTCCCAACCCATTTTCCATAATTACCACACCATATTTGATGGGGTTCAGACATTAGGCAACAAATCATAGTCGGAAATCTATATATCTGCCTCTCGGAGAGCCTGGCAATCTACTGAGAGTATCCTGCCTGCACGACAGAGCCTGGCAAGCTACCAGCAGCATATTCGATATGCCAAAAACAGTAACAGTAGCAGATCTCATTCCCCTGACCCTAAAAGAGCATCCAAAAAGGCACCATTGGGAAAGATGAGAAAGGAAAGGCTGCTAAAATCTCAGGGCTGGGACAAATGGAGATGTTACTGGTGCCCACTCGAGTAACTCGATGAACAATGGAATGACAGTGATACAGTGATACATTTCCCTCTATGATTTGTTGCCTGCTATGTGAGCCCCATCAAATATGGTGTGGTAATCATGGAAAAAGGGTAGGGAGTATCTTATGATGTGTCCAGGAATATGTTCACTCATGTGTGAGGCTCAGCCCGAGTGTGTGGAAAGCGGCCTGGAGCGTGATGGTGGTTGAGTAGTGGAGGTCGGCTGTACCAAAGATACAAAATTAAAATAGTACAAACTGCTGTTAGTTCTTTATGTGTGTGCATATAGGGCATGGCTTGAGAATAGAAATAATTTTTGTTGTGCTATTCCTCAGTTGCTAAATATCTTCTGCAGAATATGCTGATACCATTATTAGCATGAATCGCGAGAAAGTCTCTGTATCTGTGAAGTGGTCTGAAAAAATTAGAAACCCAGATAAGAACCTTCCATTGGGCCAGAGAGTTAGTACAGACATGAAGGTGTTTGCCTTGCATGTGACAGACCCTCGTTTGTTCCTGGTCCCCCAGGCACTACCTGGAGTAAGCACTGGGGTGGTGGCCCCCAAATACGCAAACCAAAATGAATCTCCCATTTCTGTACCATGATTTGCAGTCTCTCAGAGAGCGGCTGTGTAAGTTGTCAGCTGTGACA